GAACTTCCAGGGGCCCGGGTTTTCCCGGGAGTTCCCTTCTGGGAACTACCCAATTGCCAATTCCCTCGCAGTTATCTACCTTCTAGTGAGTCCAGAGTGTTTTCGTTTGGGTTAAAACTTGTAGTAAGTGAGTCTATAGTCCGTTTTCAGTACTCAATTCCTATGCAGGCTTGGACACGGTGATCTCGGCGTCTTTACTCTGCCGCCATCTTCCGGAAGTCCTCAGTTAGAGGATTTTAACATCAAAGGGAAACAACCCTCACAGACTAAGTACTTAGCCCTTTACTGAACCATAGAATTTTATCTGAAAAGTACCAATTTGAAAGTGAGAGGGAGAAGGGTGAAAAATCTGTCTCACTTTTAATTTATGCTATTAAATTATTTCTGAAACAAAACAGGTTGCAAAGAAGCAACTGCTAGAATGTTACTCCATCACCTTTCATTTTTATCAATCTTACTCCTATTTCAGTGATTCTACAGCTCCTTGTGAATCCTCCCCAGATGGGAATGGTGTAGGACAAACACATATAATTATTGGGAAAGTGTTTATCCTTTTTTATCATGTTTAATTTTATCACGTATTACCTTTTCTCTTGAGTATAAACTCTGAAAAAGAAGGAACTTTTTAAAATAACACCACTTCCCCAGCTAATCCTTACTACCTACCAGTTTCTTGCATCTGAAAGATATTAAGTAAACTCGACCAAAAAAAAGGCAAGAGGGACTGAAGAAAGGAAATACAATGTTATCCTTCCTGTATGAATATCACCCCTGACTGCCCAAGGCTGGCACAAAGATTACAGTCAGTACATGTCAGTACCAATATCAGTCATCCTCATACGCGATTGAAAATATTTTTCCTCATGGCAACAGAGAGCTTTGCTTTATTTACCCAAACAGTCACAATCACCTGTACTTCCAAGCAAAATGTTCTTTGACCTCTTTTTGAATGTAATCATCTTTCCATATGACATTACAGCAGTTTCTACATGAAATTTTAATCACCGCACATGCCATTTTACATAAGTTTTTCTTATTAAGAATGGATTTTAATGCATGAAGATAGCTTGATAAAATCCCTTGGTAGCCATCTTACTACTGAGGACAAAGTCCAGTCTTCCTAAACAGTTTGAATAGCGAGCTGTTTCAGAGACTGCTATTGTGAAGCAAAAATGAAAACTCTAAGAAGTGAGACAAGAATGCTGACGGTCAAACGTGGACGTTGCAGACAATAAAACTAAGAAATGTGTAGCAAAAGGCCAAAGAGCTGAAGTGGCTTGGAAAATCCAGGGCGAAAGGAGGGTGTTTATTCTTTCCCTGTGCCTTGACTCTGGTACTGCAAGCTCCTTTTGTGAAAGTATTTGCACTTACTAAACATTCAAGATTTGCACATACTAAATCATTCAAAGTGTTTCCCTTTTTTTGGTTTCAGAAAGTTGGGCGGGTAGTTTCACGTATTTTAATGACCTTCTACCCACTGGAATTTTGTATTGCACTTACATACTCAGTCTTCTGCTGTCTTAATTTGGTAAGTGTTACTACTCTCTGGCCACTGGAGAGATACTGCTTCCAAGTAAGTACCTTCTAATGGGAGATGAAGTACGCGGATACAGAATGTTTGAACTAATAAAAATGGAATGTGTGATAATACTTCCTTTACTTTTCAATTTTTATTTTTAGTGTTTATAAAATTAAAAAAGTAACACATGAAACTAAATAAAAAAGTAAAAGTATACAATAAAAAGTTATTGTCCTCTTAACGTGGCCTCAGGGAACCCACATGTACACCTACACTAAATGACACAGACACAGTATCCTTTTTTATGAATTATGTTACCACATATTGTACTTTTCTTACTGTCATAAAATCTTTACATTTTTTAAACATACCTAAACAGTGGATTCTGTTAGCATATTTTCTTGAGTATTTATTTTCACATTCTTTCATTACTGCATATTTAGCACTTTCCCAGGCTCTTAAATATTATAAACAGTGATGCAGTGAACTTCCCAATATATCTGTGGATGCAGTTCGAATTTCTGTAAGTATTTGATCTGTAGAAGTGTAATTGCAAGTTTAATAACATCCCAAAATGCAGTAATAATTCACAGCAATACAGTTTTTTTGTCAGGGTGATTATTTTCTTACAAGCTGAAAAAAAAAAAATCTGGCAGTCAGCCATTATTTCACATTTCTAGAGAACCTGCTATTTATGGGCACTGTAATGAGCTCTAAGGATGCAATGATTAACATGAAACAACCTCCCTGCAACCATAGAGCTTGCATACCAGTGTGGAGAGAGGACATTAAACATCCAGAAAGTGCGAACATGAAGTGAAATAGAGTAAGGAGATAAGACAAAGATTGCTTTATACGGGCTGATGAGGGAAGAGCCCTCTGGACCGGGACTGGCTGAAGTACAGAAATGACTGACTGCAGGGAAAAAGCATTTGCTAAAAGAATAGGGAGTGGGTGGGACTTCCAGAATGGTTGAGTGGGGATAAACAAATATCCCTTAAAAGAAATGATGCAGCTGGGCAAAATTGTCAGTAAGTGACAATTTTAAAAATGACCTTTTAAAGATTCTGGAACTGGCTCTCCCTGGTGGTGCAACAGGTAAAAGCACCGCACTTTGAAGCTCTCCACAGTCACTGCGGCAGAGTTCAATCCCCGGCCAGGGAGCTGACCCACATGGCACAGCAGGCTCTCCTGTCTCCTCGCTGCTCCCCTCAGCAATGTACTTCAGTCGCTCTGCCTGTTCTGCTCCCCACTCTGTTTCTGGTGAATCCTCATCCACCACACCTCTGGCCTGTACCCCAGTTCTATATGCATAAATAAATCTTAAAAAAAAAAAAGATTCTGGGAACTTATTAAGGCATACAACAAGCTGAGACATTTCTGATTGCCAGGGAGAGTAGCCATGTGTGACTTTCCAGTGTGGGGCATCTCCAGTGCCTCCCGTTGGTCCTGTCTCCCAAGATTCCATTTTGCTGAAGTACACCTGTGTGGGCCATACTGGGGGAACCCAGAGCCACATTGCTGAAGAGAGCTGATTCAAGTTGGAGCAGAATATAGAAAGTTTCATGACGGAGTGTGTCATCGTAACTCGTCATCTCACTAGCAAACAACCTGGATAAACCATTGTCATTCTGTCCTGAGATCACAATACTTACAGAGGCAAGAAGTTGGCTGGCAACAAGCCAGAAATGTAATGAACATTCTGAGAACAGGAGAGCTAAGTGCACCTTGGTGACATGCTACATATGTCATGCTGGAACACTGACTGTGCCCAGTCACACACACAGCGCCTCACTCCTGGGTGAGTAAGAACCTTGCAAACAAAAGCTGGGTCATATTTACAAATGACCTAAACGTTGAGTACGTTCTTTACACTGATTAAAAAAGCAGAAAGGACTATCACAAACTACCACAAGCTGGGTGTTTTAAACCACAGAATTTTATTTTCTCAGAATGCTATCATCGGGAAGGCCAAGATGAAGGTGCTGTTGTCAAGGCTGGTTTCTCCCTTAGCTTGGATCAATATGGACTCAACGACTTCATTATGACATCGGTGCTGCTACTAAGACTTTAATGAAACACAGGGGTTAGTACTAACATGCATTTTTAAGTGACACTTCAACACACAACAAGCATAACCTCTGAACAGTCACTGACAAACTACTACTGAGTGAAGAAACTGAAGACAGCACTTTAAAAATAAAAAAGAAGAAAAATAGTAAATTGATATGCCACAAAACTAGTATAAACCAGTCACAGAAGGCAGCATCAACCCATCCTGGGGAAAGAAGAGGCACCTGGAATCCAAAGTTGTTAGTCTATTATCTAAAATGTCCCATTTCAAGAAAAACAACCCAGCATTCCAATATCCGGAATAGTAACCCATGCATTAGGGGAAAAAAATGGATATAGCATCTTTGGAGGGGAGAGGAAGACAAATGTTAGACTTAAAGACTTCTAAGAGCTGCAGGGAAACCTGTTGAATTAAAGGATGATGGTATCAAGAATACCAATGTCCATTGCCCGGATTGTTGGGATGGGATGGGGCTTGCAGCCATCCAAACTCACCAAATTGTACATGTTAAATACGTGCAGTTCTTTCTATATTATACCTCCTTTAGTTAGTTTTTTATAAACTATCAATAAAAGAGTGAAATTATGTAAAGGAACCAAATGGAAATACTGAAGTTTTAAAATAAGTTACTGAAATTAAAAAAAAAATACAAAAGGGACTTTAGAGCAGATTTGAGATGACAGATGAGCAAATCAGCAGACATGATACAAAAATATGGTTCACTTTCTGAAGAACGGGAGGAAAAAAGTAAACGGCCTCCATATTGGGTGCGCAAAGGGGGCACCAGCACTTGTAAGCCAAGAGTCCCAGAAAACTGGACGAGCAGGAAAAAACAAGTGTTGGCCAACATTGTCCAAATTTGATGAGAAATATTTAATGTACTGAGTCAACTACCCCACAGAGGCTGTTGGACAAGTATGCTCCTGGCTGGGAACTTTTGCAAACGAAGACATTTTGCTTGCAGTAGAGACAGTGTCTACTGACTTTTTGATGACTGCTCTGTCTCAAAAAAACAAAGACATGATGCTGAACTGAGGTTCGCTGCGCAAAAGTATTTATTACAGCATCGGGAGTTGCTGTGAGCAGTGACCTGTGTGACTCCTTGTGAGCAGCTGGTGCCGGTGCTGCGGGATCGCAAATGAGCTGACACCTAGTTTGGAGGACAGTTGTGTTTCATCGCTGTGCATTGAATGGGCTAAACCATGACAGCCCCAGCGGAACTACCCTAGTGAACCTTGCACAGAAAGCCCCGTAGACTGAAAACCACAGCGCTGCAGCCTGGTCCATGTTCAGGCAAGGCCACAATGAAGGAGAGAATTTGAAGCCAATGCCTGCTTCTTCATGGAAGTTAATAACCTGCTACCAAGAGACAATGGAAAGACAGTTCTCACACAAAAGGAACACAGTTGATCAAAAATCATCAGGAAGACGCAGCTAAGGCTGGAGAGGAGAAAAAAGAAAAACATAAATGGAAGACAAAGTCAGGGATTTTATGGCTTGTTTGGCTACCATTTTAGAGTAAAGCAGAGCCTCCCACATAGAAAATGTTTTGACTTTTTAAAATTTCTATAGTGAAAAATAGGCCATCACCAACTGAATTGGGTCTTTATTTTTTTCTAATTGAATAGTGTGATGGTTACTGATCATGGACATCTTAAACTCTCCATTTTTTTTTTTTGAGAGAAATAATAAAATTTGGAGAGAATGGGGGGGAAAGGATATGCATCTAGGATAAAATACATGTTTTGATACAGATGCAACCAGTATTATTCATAATAGCCCCAAAGTGGAAATAGTTCAGTTGTGTGTGTGTCAATATTGAGGTACATTACTAAAATCCTACATAATAATTAAATGACTACCTACACTTAGCAACATAGATAAGTCTCAAATATCACACTAAGTATAGAAAGTCTGGCTCAAAAGAATGCATACTTTATGACTTCACTTAGATGATGTTTGAACCCCAGCAAAACTGAAACTACACTTTACTGTTTAAGAGGGAAGCAAGCTAGTTAGTAAATCTAGAAGCTTCAAGAGATTGGATTAACTACCCAAAATTCAAAATGACTTTGACCTGGTGGGAAAGAATAGGCAATAACTGGGAAATGTGATTGAGAGGCTGCTGGTAGCTGATCATGCTCAAGAAGACCATGAATATTTTTATTGGTAACATTCTGGAAGAATACCAAAAGTTCTAACTGCTAAGAGGAATTAAAGGGTGGGTTAGGTCAGAGGTGTGGCAACACACAAAAAATGGGGCTTTAGCAGTGTAGTCTGTGAACCCCAGTTTTGCTTGTAGTTTCAAAACACTTAAGTATTGCATGTATGATTTTAGGAAGCATGATATGATTATTTTTTTCCAGTGGGATTTTTATGAAGATAATTCTCCTGCTCGTGAGTCAGAAGAAGAAGCTGAGACCCGTTTATAAAAACCCTTCAAAATGTGAGGTTTTTCCTGATATGCACACCTGCTGAGGGCCCGAGTGACATCTCTGTGTAACACAGTTGCTTCAAAACTCACAAATTTTGTGCAAGAGCACAGACAAGTTGGAAATTTCTTCTCAATGTACAATAAATTTCTCTACACTTATTTTTGTAGACTCCCAGTGGAAAGCCTTTCCCTTTTTAATCATATTATTACAAGGAAAATGTATTTCCTAGGTATGCTGAATAGCTGCTAACTCACCCTAATAAGATCCTGAAAGTGATTAGTGATTGTCTGCAGAGAGCATTCTGTAAAGACTTAGAGCACAACATTGCATAATCTATCCCTTGCATTACACGCACATTTCACTGAGTTCTCCCTGAACTAGCTTCTACCTAAACAAAGTATGAAGCAAAAAGTCATCCTATTCAGTTTCTTTGTTCCTTGCTGCCCTGAAAGTCTCTGCTGTCTCTCTTCCTTGTCATTCCCTGTCCTGCTCATTCCATGTCATTGCCTGGATCATCTGTTCAACTGCTTCCTGCAGCAGAAAGGCTGCCTTTCCCTGGTAAGGAGAAATTCCCAAGGACCATTTTGAGTTCAGATTTATCCCCTCTTCTAATGTGGAAAAGAACTTCAGAAAGCCTTACTCAGCAATACCAGTCATGGCAGTGAGTACATGTAGCTCTCTTTTCAATGTGTTGTTATTGCTTGTTACCTACATTGTCCCTAAAGAGATTTTATCAGTTGCTACCTGATACTGTAAAGTTTAGATTTGCAGTCCTGGGAATTCCAGTATTTTGCTCATACATAGGCACTCAACAAACGTGTCTACTATATGCAAATAAATGCATTAAACTCTGGAATATTCCAGAGTGAATTAAAGTGAATTAATAAGATACCACACAATTTTTCTTCTAGGAAAGAAAACAATGGTAACAAATCAAGACTAATGCGACACCTATGTTAACAGAGATATGAAAAAAATTCAAGGCAGAAGAGACAATGGCCCTTCTGTTGGTAAATAAGAGAGAACAAACCTTTATGCTACAATGGCACACCCACTGTCAGCTTCTTACTTTAATGTTGCACTACAAATTGAATGGTGAACACAGGGGAAGAGACCACAGGGGGCCTCTCTGTGTTCCTAGTCAACATTAGGACTCTATAATTATTGCAGAATAAATGGCAGGGTCTTAAGAGAGGATGTTTCTTAAACTGGGTGGAGGTTACCAGGACCTTTCACTTTGGTGATTCAGCAAATTGTACACTTGACATGGATGAGCACCTGTGATTTAATTCTACCAAATTATTTTTTTCTTTAATGAGAACAGGTGACACTAGTGAGAATGAAAGCACTGAGTGAAGTATTCGGTAAAGACAAGCCCTGAAGGTGCTTCGAGTTAGGCCAAGAGGCTGGGGAAGAGGCGAGAACTGATGACTGGCAAGTTGCACAAGGAATCGCCATCTCTCCCCTTCCCAAATGGACATGCCTTTACAGTGCGGCTTTGGCCTTGATACGCCATCCAAAACAGGCTCTGTTCACTTGGCCCCGGGATTAATCTTAGCACTCGCTCCCATCAAGAGCATGTAACGGCGCATTTTCGAAATGCTAGCGCCCCGCCAAGTCTGAGCTGGCTGTGCCAACTCAGTTTCAGAACGCTGTGTGGTTGCTTAAGGAATTTACACATCTAAGTTGACAAGTTTATTGGGAAATTGTCTTCCCAGCATACTTTTATGGTTCCCTAGAGGTCATGAGACACGGAATGATGTCCAATTTGATTTTTATGACTGTTGGCATGCCACTCCTCTTAATTCTTGGTATTTTTACTCAAGATTTATCCTCAATCTTCTCAAAGAACCACCTTCTGGGTTATCTGTGTTCTCTCTTACTGATTTCTGTTTTATAGATCTCTGTTCCTTATTTCTTTCCTTCTACTTTTTTGGGGTTTGTTTGGGCCTTTTTCAGTGTTTTCTTATGGGCGTTCAAATGATAGATCCTAAACTTTCTTGTGTATTTTTCCAAACCATTTTATCTGAGATAGTTAGCAGCACACCACCAATCCACATATGTTTCCACCATCTATCAAAATACTCTAATCTATACCATGATTTCATCTCAGAAGTTTTTCAATTTCCAAATACTAGGGAATTTTCTAATTGTTTCAGGTTTATAGTAGAATGTTGTCAGCAAAGAACTTCCACACATAATAAAGCCCAGTGAGTCTCAGTTGATGGCCCAGCAAATGTATTCCTGTAACAATGTGCATTCTACAGTGGTGGCCACATAAGTGGCCATTAAGTTCACAGAATCAGCAGATGTTTTATAGTCTTACTGAATTTTTACCCACTTTGTCATCTATTGAGAGAGGGGTGTTCAAGACTCCAAGTTTAATTGTGAATTTGCCTATTTCATTTTTTAATCTGGTCAACTATTCTCCCATAAAATTTTAAGCTATGTTGGTGCACACGTGCACACACACACACACACACACACACACACACAGACTGTTGCTTCCTGATGAACATTTTTTTATGATGATTTTTAAATGTCCCTTTATTTAACCAAGATGGTGACTTAGAAGGCTCCCCTGTTCCCACAGACCCACCCCATGTGCAGCAACCAATCTGATACCTACGGTGTCGAGTGTTAATGTCACTTCTTACCACAATGCAGCCTTTAGTCAGGCCTCAAGCCATTTATCTTTCTAAGTGGGGACACAGCATCCACAGAGGGACTTTGATTCCTGTTTTCTCTCCTACTGTGTCAGACACGCCTTCACACTGAATAACCCTCACACTGAATGCTCAGTGGTTTAAAAACAAAAGCCCTACGTAGTGCCTGAGCACCAGAAAACTCTCTCAGGTTAGAATTCCAGTAGGTTGGAACCCGCTGGTAGAAGATTTTAAACCTTTATAGCCACGTTTCCATTTTCAGAGTAAATTCGTGAGAATTGGGAGGGCCCCGTAGGTTGTCTCACTGTAGGAGCAATTTAAGGAACAGGGAATTAAAAACATTTCACTCAGGGGTTCATGTGTCCATTAAAAAGGCAAGGGGAGGACTAGAGCCAGTTTGCGGATCCGCGCTCGCCTCAGCTCTCCCCTGGTGGAGCGAGAAGGTAGAAAGGCCTTCAGGAAATTGGAGAACTGGGGAGCGGCCTCCCCCACTCCCATGGCAATATCCTTAGCAGCCAGGGAATCACGGACAGCCCGGATCCATGGCCAGAGGGCAGGAAGAGTCGGGAGGGTCAGCAGACCCCCCCCCCGCCCCGGCAGCACCCCACATTTCTTCCCCTGTCCCCGGGCTAAGTAAAAGCCTGAAGGTTCAGCAGAGCTTCAGAACGCTCTGCGTGGGCACCCACGTGGCCCCCTCGCGCTGCACCCTTGGGGTCACAGTCTTGGTCACAACCGCAGCTTTGGAACCGTGCCAGTGCCATGGGGGTCACCACCGAGGAGCAGCGTCCACTCGGCGAGCTCGGAGCAGAAAAGTCAGGAACGAGGGCGCCCCCTGTGAGATCGTGCGCCCCTAACCAGGATCCCGACAAGGAGGAGCAAGCGGAGGTAGTGTCCGGCTCCGGGCGGCTCCCGGCACCTGTGCCCCGAGTCTCAGTGCTGTGCCAGTTTCTCTGACTGGCCCCCCAGTCCAGTCCTATAGTGAGGGTGGTGTTTTGTGCCACATCATTGTGAGAATAAGTGATATGGGCAAGTTTATTGGGT